CACCACCATCACCTTCGGCTCAAACTGCTATGACAAATTCAAGAGGACGAAGCAGTATGTTTAGACTCATTCTAGGTGGAATCATCATCACCGTCCCTACTGACTTAATGCAACGTAATGACTAAAGACTAAGCTACCAGAGCACTGCCAAATGTACACAGACACAATAACTGACCCAACCAAAAACCTTCCTCGTAATAATCGTATTAATTATTTCAATAAGAAAAAACATTTTGAATTATTTCAAAATTATCTCTTAAAATTTGATGTAATTTAAATTAATATATTTAAAGAAGATAACTGATTGAAAATAAATGTTGAGAAATTACGAAAAATGAGTTAAAACAATAGGACATTTGAATGTCGGTGGTGTTTATAACCAAATTTGAATGAAAGGAAATTTTTGGGAAAAATCATTGCTAAAAAAACTCCATCACCTATTTCACCCAAATTTGGGAAATATGTTGGTGACACTTATGTCTACATTGTACAAAATTTGATTCTTGTTATTACATACCTATCGGTTTTACGGTGATTTTACTTTCTTTAAAAAAATTACGACAAAATTTGAAAGTGTAATACAATTCTGAACTTATTTATTATATCAAGAGGTGAAAAATATTTACAACTTTATTAGCATTTTTTTCACTTCTTTTGCTTCTTTTTGTAAATTTCATCCGTTTGTTGGTTTTGTTTTATATAATTATATGTAATACATAACTGACCCAACCAAAAACCTTCCTCGTAATGTAATTATAATATATTAAACATATAATTAAATATATGTAATTATGTATTATACATAATTATATAACACTTGTATATAATTATATACAATCGTAATAAATATTTAAAAAATATTTTTTGTCAAGTCACCTAGTAGAAATTGGTGCAGTGGGGTGCTAGCGGTTTGCACAATTTTACTTTTCAGTCGCCTTGAGCAATTGTCCTTCGTCTTGGAATGAATGTATCTTCATTTTTACGTCGGCATTTGTTAATGCGCATGAATGGAAATTGCGAATTCCAGTAATAGGTCCTGCATGTTTAAATCGTGAATCCAACTTTTTTTCTGTTGGCTGCAATCGAGTCTTCAGCGGCGAATTCAATATCTATACCTGTGTGGCGTCGTCGGGTGCGAGTAATACACAGACAGGGAGTTGTTTTATACAGATTTATTCACAAGTTTTTGTACACTATCTACACTCCTCGGAAACTAGCGCTGCACTCCCAGCACTGCCCATCTCTGAGGCATCCCCGCCCCAGTCTGACGCGGCTCCAATCAGACATATAGGTATATTTTTAAGTTCAGGGATCTTCGCTTGGAAGTAACTGATCAACAACTTTTGGAAATAATTCACTCGTGATGTGTTGCGTTTTAAGTCATCTGAAATTATCACGTAGTTGAAAATTTATGATTTTTTGCCTCCTTTGTAGCAGCGAAATGGATGAAGTGTCGCCTGTGAATTGTTCCAGTGGATCCACTGTACACTTCTGCAACACGAAAGAATAATTTTCGAAAAGTTAGCTACAGCGATGACTTCATCTGCATGGCATTTTTATTGGCTTGTAGAAAAAATTCCGCTTGCTGCATTTGATGTAATGGTGAAGTGAAAGGTATTAAAGTTATTGTATGAGTTCATTTACGAATTCTACAGTTGATCGTTTCAAAAGAACACCGATCTACATTGATCCACTGCTGATATGTAATCGTCTTACCTTCGCTTGATTCAGATTTCCCAAGAGCACATTTCGCCCACCTTTAGCCAATCTCATAACCCCTATATTTCTACTCTAATTTATATATAATAAAAGGTTTACAAATCTAATTCCACACTGCTAGATAGTCGAAGAGGATCCCAGATGCGACACCGCCTTTTACTTGTAATAATTTGATCAAAGCGTATATACTATGCGTGAAAATTTCTCTGTAACTATTCTATGGTTAATCCATTAGAAAGAAAAAATAAAAAAAACCTCGTTCGATTCAAGTGTTTTCAATATCTCGCTTCTGAACTCGTCGATACCTGAACATTTAGCACAAGTTCGTAGATGTCAAGTTTCTGTTTGCAAAGTACATTTAATACTAGTCAGAACATCGGAAACTTCACGAAATTGTTCATTTTTGTGTATCATAGGCAACAAAGCTGGATATGTCATCGTCAAATTCAAGTTTTCATGAATGCAGATACAGGCAGAATGTTGTGCGAAAAATGTCTTTGGATACTGAAGTTTAATCTACCCAATCTAAATACAGTAAATCTCTTTAGGGGGCGTTGGTTTAATTCGTGGCATTATCACTATGATCGCAGCGCCAAAACATGAATCAACATTTTTTGGAAATTTATTTGAACCTTCTGGCAGGATCCAAAAACAAATTATCTGTTCCCCATCAGAAGACCGAGGGGGGTTGAATGACACCTCATATACCCCTGTCTCGATTGGTGCACGGAAAGTGGTCTAGCCGCAAGTGACGGAAATGCACATTCGAACATACGCACACTCGGAGTTATACTCAAATACTGTAAAGGGATATTTATTATTATCATTATTATTCCTATACATTCATTAAATAGATATTATGCGGCCTTTAGTTCTTAATTTTAAATAATACATGCTGTTTTATTAAGTGTGATAGTTGCATTTATCTTTATGTAATTAATTTTACGGTTTTAAATTACTTGACATGGATGGCAATGAAGTTGAATTGCCCTTTAAACCTCAATCAATCGAAATAGCATCATCTCTTTCTTCTTTCAGGCTGTAGCTACTCTCGGTACCACTAGTTCTTGTGTTTTTGATCCCCTTGAGGAACTGGGTGTCGTGTGCAATCAAGAAGGAGTTTGGCTGCATGTAGATGCTGCTTATGCTGGTCAGTCTACCTATCACTGCTTTTATATAGTTACATGATATTTATCCTTTACCAAGGCTTAAAGCATTTCTATTATTAATTATTGTACATTTTCAGGATCTCTTCAGATTTGCCCGAATATCGATATTGATGGCCGGAATTGAACGTGTTGACTCATTTAATTTCAACCTCACAAATTGGATGTTGTAATTTTGGATTGCTCTGCATATGTGTAAGTCTTTTATTTATTTAACGTCAAAACCCGTTAATAACACCGGTGTGACATGGAAATGGGGAGAATAAATTACGTGGCCAAACTTACTAATATTTTGGTATCCCTTTCCTGACCTAAATACAAGTTAAACTTCTTAATGCAGATGAAATGAGCGGCAAATTTGGCAAGTTTTTAAAATAAAATATTCGCCCCTATAATAAAATCTATTTCCATAGGCAAATCAGTTATAGATTTGAGCTATTATTCATGATCATGTCCTCTGTCAATGACTCGACTTCCTACCGCGACGTGGAGAAAGATAATTTGAATAACTATATTTCCCACAGAACTATTGAAGATGTGCGCAGATGAGGAAGTTACAGTAATGTTCAGAAGCAAAACATGGGACCATCATCACAATTATTATTAATTTCCTTTTTGATGCTCGATATTTCACACAATGTAACACAAACCTATGTAAATATGCAAGTAGAAAAAAATTACAACTAAAGTTAGCATAATACAAAATTTAAAGTAAAAAATGATAATTAAAAATTATTGGGGCGCACTAAAACTATTAAAATTAAAAGTAATGCATTTGTTATTACAAATGCGGTGTATTCACAGACAGAATAAACATTTTGTAAAGAATATTCTGTTATTTCACGGGTATATTTTGTTTTTCTCGCGTTTGAAATATAACTCTACCTTTAAATTATGGCAGCTTTCCTAACATTTCTTGAGAAACACGAAGACATCTAAAGTGTTATATTGTTTAAGGGCATTATCGGTTTCATTAACATTAACTTCTAAATCGTTGGAAGCATGTCACATTCCATCGCGCTCTCCCTGAATGCCGTAAAGAGCGATTGACTTCGTATGCTAGGGTTTCTGTATTAGTCATATTTTAGGCTAAACGTATAAAATAAAGTTATGAGCTACAAAATACTCATAATTAAATACATTAGGGTAAATAAGGAACGTGTCAAACTAAGTGAACACGGGAAATTTAAAAGTGTTGTCAGGAACTAAGCAGCCTTCGGTGGCTCGTTGGTTAGCGTGCTCTCTTTTCACGGCTCAACCCCGGGTTCAATTCGCGGCCGGAACCAAATATAACAGTGCGCTTTCAATACAAATGTCTAAGTGCCAATGACAATGAGAAAGCTCACTCTAAGGTTTAGAAAACCAGACTATATGGTGAAAGGCTGTCGTCGCGCTAACCACACGAACCCCTTATCCCATGGCTGAGAGGCTGGGTCACCATTGGCTAGCCAAGGCTCGTAGCGGGCTGTCGAGCCATAGGTCACACAGACAGTCGTAGCTAAGGAAAAGAACGAGTAATTCCTAACGGTAAAAGTAAAATAAATGAGGTAGTTTAGAAATGTTGCACTTTATTAACATATGTATCTAAATATGAACTATTGTTGATTTCACGTTCTGATTGTCACTATATATTTTTGTAGGTTGAAAGACCATGAAGATTTTGCCAATTTTTTTAACGTTGATCCTCTTTATCTGAAAAGCGATCGGCGAGGGTCGTACCCCGATTTCAGAGTAAGTGTCTAAGCTGTTCGTTTCGAATATTCATTACATGAAACTGACATGAGAAGTACAAATTTTCTTCCTTTAAATAGCATTGGCAGATACCTCTTGGAAGAAGATTTCGAGCACTCAAACTGTGGTTTGTATTTCGCCTTTATGGTATTGCAAATCTACAGGCACATATAAGGCGTCATATAGCTTTGGCCCACGAGTTTGAAGATTATGTCAAATCAGACTCGCGCTTTGAAATATATGGAGAAGTTATCATGGGCCTTGTGTGCTTCAGACTTAAGGTAAAATATATATTTTACGACATTGTATAATGATGACATTAATCAACATTTTTATTTCGTTTTAATATAATATTTGAAAATAATTAAATAATTTTGTTACATTTTTCGCACAGATTTATTAAGAACATTTTCACTTTCTTCAACACTAACTTATTAGTCAATTGATAACAATATTTGTTTCACTCTATGACGTCATTCTATTGATTCACTTCTGTTACTTTCAACAACTTTTCTCATTTGCAGGGTTCAAATGAATTGAATGAAATATTGCTTCGTAGAATCAATAGTCACGGAGTTATCCATCTGGTACCTTCCAAAATCCATGATACATATTTCCTTCGTTTGGTAGTTTGTTCACGATTAACAGAATCACACGATATCAAACAGTCATGGAATGAAGTACGAAGTTTGGCAGATGAAGTTCTTGCTGAGGAGCGACCTGATAACTGACTTACGTAATATCCCGCAATTGGTTGATATGGTACGTTGAACAGTATTACTGAAATACTATTGCAGAGGTGTAGTTCTTTTTTCTTCTGGTATCTTATTTCATCCTGCAATTTTGATCAGATACATGCACGTCTGAAGCTATCCCTCGGGGGACCAAGCTTCAAATACCTGTACCAGCTAGCACTAGGTACTCTCGTGATATCAATATTTTTCAATGTATATTGATGTATTTTATATTATATATATGTATATTATGATATCAATGTATTTTAGTTAAGAAAGCCATCATTTAATTCAGCTTCCAATGACGATCGGTAGATTTTATTTCTTCAGTGTTGCACCATATCATCATAAAAAGGTTTAAGAAATGTTACAATATGATATTTAATGATATGGTTAGATATTTAATCTACAAAATGTGATGTAAAACTAAGTTTTTTATGTATTGTTATGTCATGATAAAGTTTTATAAATGAAGTGAATGTCTATTCATGATGTTATTATATTATTCTTAACCTACCTGTTACTTAAAGTAAACATCATGGAAGACAAAAGTGTTTGATTACCAAATCCTGAGAAAAATTGTAATAAGGTTCGAAATATATTGAGATAATGTTATAAAAGATGCATTCTAGTTTGTAAACAAGACTAATGTATTTAAAATCTACATTGCACATTATACATGTAAAAAACATGTGTATGTAAAAAATAAAATTCATCTCGACCAAGTTGAGAATGATGTTTAGAGGAGCACGCCACTGTCAGTGCTTATAGACGAAACACGAGAGATAGATGTATAAGGATATTCAACTCAAATTAAAAATGGGATTAAAATTAAAAATAGTTTGTGTTTTTTTATCCCTAACCTTCCACTAGTAAATACAATCATAAATAAAAAACAAAGAAATGTACATAATACGCACCACAGAATGGCCGTTATTTAACTAAACTCGATTCACAATAAATTCTCCAAAAACAATCTGAAAAAAAAATTGGAACCCGTACATGAAAGCAATAAATGGCAGTTACTTACTTTTTGCATAGCTAAAGAAATATAATTGTAACTTAATTTTTCATGGATCTAATTGCAAAATTGACACCTTTGTTTGGTTGGTAGCTAAATACGAAAAGACTCGTGGACAGTTGGC